TTTTAAATACTTGATGTGTGGTACAAATGTCAACTTGTTGTCCAAGATTAAGCCTAAGAATTTATGCTCCGCATTGACAGACAGACGTTGACCATTCAGTTCAATGTCAGGTTCTGAGTGCACGCCTCTCTTTCGGGAGAACAAGACACACGTGCTTTTTTCTGGGTTCAGCCGCAATCCGTTTTCCTCTGCCCATTTGGAGAGCTTCTTTAAACCTAACTGAACCTGCCGCTCACACATTGCTAGGTTGCATGACTTAAAGCCGAGCTGGGCGTCATCGACATATGTGGAATAGAACATGTTGCGGGGGATGGACAGGTGCAAGGAATTCATTTTAATAATAAAAAGTGTACAACTAAGTACACCACCTTGCGGTACTCCCGTTTCTTGCACAAATATTTGGGAGAGAGTACTGCCCACACGGACGCGGAATTTCCGATTGGACAAGTAACTCTCGATTATGGAAAGCATTCTACCACGCACACCCAGGTGAGACAAGTCTCTTAATATCATAAAACGCCATGTTGTGTCGTAAGCCTTCTCGATATCGAGAAACACTGAGAGGAAGTATTGTTTGTGGACAAAAGCGTCTCAGATCTGTGCCTCGATACGCACCAAATGGTCGGTGGTGGATCTACCCTCTCGAAACCCACACTGGAGCTGGTCGAGCAGATTGTGTTTCAAGGAAATGTAAAAGTCGGCGGTTTATCATTTTTTCAAAAAGTTTACAAACGCAGCTGGTTAGTGCAATGGGCCTATAACTTGAAACTGAGAAGGGTCCTTGCCCTGTTTCAAAATTGGGATAACAATAGCCTCTTTCCAGGAAGCAGGGATGGTGCCTGAAAGCCAGATAGCATTGTATAGAGAGAGTAAAGTTTTTCGCGTTTCGAGCGGCAAGTTTTTCAACATTTCATATGTGACACGGTCGTAGCCTGGAGCGGAATTATTGCAAGAGTTTAGTGATGTTTGTAGCTCAGCTAAGTTGAAAGGTTGGTTGTATTCCTCGTAATTTGTGCACTTGGATTCTAGTTTCTGCTTTTCTATCTTTGCTTTGTGTCTTTGGAAAGCTTCAGTGTAGTGTGACGAGCTAGACACCTGCTCGTAGTGTGCACCGAGGAAGTTCGCTTGATCTTCCAGGCTATCACCCTGTGTGTTTACGAGTGGGAGTGAGTGTACTTGTCTTCCTGCTACCCTACGAACCATGTTCCAGACTTTAGCCCTCTTGTGTATATGAATTTATCCCTGATAAAAACTTGTGCCAGCTTTCTTTTCTGGCCTGCCGACGCGTTCTCCTGCCTCGAGATTTTATTTTCTTGAAGCTCTCAAGGTTTTCCGCTGTCGGCGAGTTCCGCAGCAACCTCCATGCCCTGTTCTGTTCCTTTCGCGCATTCTGACACTCAGTGTTCCACCACGTAACGTGTCGTTTGCCGGGCAGTCCATATGTTTGTGGAATGCACTTGGTTGCTGCGTCAGTAAGAAAAGCCGTGAAGTACTGCACAGATTCATCTATGCCTAACCCGCATATGTCAGTCCAATTTAGGTGAGTAAGCTTTTGAAATCGTTCCCAGTTGGCTTTGTTTACCAGCCATTTGGGAACATGTGGAGGACATTCATTTATTATTGGTGTACTCAAAACTAAAGGGAAATGGTCACATTCCGTATGGATTATTTATGACTTTCCACTGAAGTAATGGTACAAGTGAAGGAGATGCGATACTGAGGTCTATGGAAGAGTAAGTTTTGTTGGCAAGGTTAAGTATGTTGCCTCTTTCCTATTCAACAGACAAGCACCTGATGAAATGAGGAATTGTCAAAGAGACGACCTCGGGCATCACAGCGAGAGTCACCCCACAGACAATTATGTGCGTTCAGATCCCCAGGGACCAGATAAGGTTCAGGTAGTTCGTCTATTAAAGACTGGAATTGAAGTTTTCAAGACGGTGGTGCGGAGGTATGTACAAAGAGCAGACTGTGACAAGTTTGTTTAGAATAACTGCTCGGACAGCCACCGCCTCGAGGGAAGTTTTAAGGGGTAATTGTGTGCATGCTATTCCTTGACTAACTATAACCGCTACACTACCGGATGATAGCATGGCATCATCTCTATCCTTTCGGAAGATTATGTAGTTACGTAAAAAGTTTGTGTTAGTTCGTTTTAAGTGTGTCTCCTGTACACACAGCACTCTTGGATTGTGTTCATGGAGTTCTTGTAAGTCATCGAGGTTTCAAAGAAGGCCTCGGATGTTACACTGTAATATTTCTGTCTGCATGTTTAAACAAGAGAGATGCTGCTGTGTGTACAAAGAATATCCTGTGTTGGAGTGAGCTCGTTAATTCAGGTGGCAGGACGGATCGTCCGGCCCCGTTATTGGTTTTTTTATTTTTCTTAACGCGCTCCAAGGAGGCGCGCCGCTCTTTTGGTACCAAGGGTACCATTGTATCCATTGCCTCCCCAGAGGCACTGGTTGCCCGCACATGCGAGCTGGTGGTTCGGATTTTAGGCCTCGTCTGGTGAGGGGAGGCCTTGAGACCAGAGGACCCTGGAGTCTCCGGCCTCAATTCGCTAGGCGGAGAAGTAGACTGAGCTACTGCCGCCTTGGGGGCAGGTGCCACAGCCGTCGGCTCGCTCTGCGCTGGCCGAAGGAGTGACGAGGCCTGGTGCGGCGTTGCCCCCTGTTGCGCCGCATCAGCATATGTAGCGCCATAAAATGGCGACACTCTTCGTCTTGCTTCCTTGAATGTAATATTTTCTTTATTTTCAATGTGATAATTTCTTTTTCTTTTTTCTAAAATGAGCAAGACCGTGAGTATGCGGCATGATTTCCGCCACAGTTCACACAGTGTGATGGTTCTTCGCAATTGTCAGAGTTGTGGCCTGACACTCCACATTGTGCACAAGTTTGGTGACCACGACAGCTTTGTGAGCCGTGGCCATACTTCTGGCATTTAAAACAACGACGTGGGTTAGGTATGTATGGTCTGATCGACGTCTTAGTGTACCCTGTTTAAATACTTTCTGGCAGATTACTGGAAGCGAACGTGAGTATTAGGTGTTTTGTTGGTGTTACCTTGTTGTCTCTTCTAATGGTGATCCTTTGTACATTGGTCACATTCTGACTCTTCCACCCCTCCAGAAGTCCCTCTTCAGTCAAGCCGAGCAAATCAGCATCAGATACTACTCCACGGGTTGTGTTCATGGATCTGTGTGGCGTTACAGTGATGGGAGTGTCACCAAAAGTTGAAAGATTCTGTAGCTTTTCAAACTGTTCTTTTTCTCGAACTTCAAGGAGGAGGTCTCCGCTGGCCTTTTTGGTAACTTTGTACCCGGCTCCTAGAGTTTTTGTGAGACATCTCGCTACTACAAAGGGGGATATATTTCTGACTTGCTTGCTGCTTATCTTACTATGTATAACATGAAAATGGGGGAAGTTCTCAGTTGATCGGTTGAAAAATCCTAAGTCTTCGGTGCGTACGCGCTTTAAGGCGGAACGATCACTTAATAATGGAAATGCTCTGTGCATGCCAGTTTAATTTTCTTCAGAAGCGTTGGCGGCCACCCACCACGGAGCCCAACGAGGGGACGCTACAAGTTTGCGGGTGCTAAAACCTGCAGACGCCAGCCGTACAAGGCTACTATAACCCAATGCGCCTAGACCAAGGTAGGCTATTTGCACAGGGTTAACCCTAGCCGCCAGGAAGTTTGGAAGTAAACAGAAGAGAGGAGAAGACAGGACAGATAAAAAGTGAGAGATAAAGACGAAGATGTAGGGAGAGAGAGATAGGAAAAGGCGACTGCCGATTTCCCCTGGGTGGGTCAGCCCAGGGGTGCCGTCTACGTGAAGCCGGGGCCAAAGGGGTGTGTTGCCTCTGCCGGGGGGCCTTAAAGGTCCAATCACCCAGCGTCGGCTCAACCCCCAGGATCCCCTTTTCCCCGGACACGGCAAAGCCACGCACGGCTAGGCGTGGGAGGGAGTCAAAACTCCCCCGTTAGCTCGGGTCCGTGGTGTCGCTACACACCAAATGCCTACTTGCGCAGGCACCCCTGCGGGGAGCATATTAGTATCAGCGGAAATGATTCTGCAGATCAAGCTGCTCGCGCGTCACATCAGGAAGAAAGCAGCGTCCCAATACCGCTCTCAAGAGTGGACGCTGTAAGGCCGATTTGTCAACTGGCCCGCAGTCTCACACTGTCTGAGTGGAACACACCAAACCTACGACATACCACACTAAATTGCTCGACCCTTCACTTCAACTTTGGCCTCCATCCGGCCTACACTGACGTGAAGCTTCGCTTCTCTACCGCCTTCGGCTGGGATTTTGCTTTAACGAAAGCATATACCTCGTTAATCAGAATGACTGACAGTGCGGAACTCGATGTTTGCGGCACCGGCGAAAGTATTGAACACAATCTGTATAACTGTTCTCAATATGCCTCAGAGAGCAACGTATTGCGATGACCGGTCGAACGGCCACTTTCTGTGCATGTGCTATTGCAGCCCTGTCCACATCTCTCGACAGCCCACAAGGCATCGAAAGCCTTCTTGTGTTTCTAAGGACGACCGGTTGGTGTGAGCGCCTCCGACTTGCGGTGGAGTTCGACACGCTGCTATGATTCTTCTGTAACTCTTTTTTTTGCTTCCCTCCTCCCTCTTTCTGATCTTACTATTGCCCTTGCCTGATCCTCTAGTGTAGGCCTTGTGTGGAACCACATGTCTTTCGGGTTAACCTCTACGCCTTCTCCCTTTGTTTGCTTCCTTCCTTCCTTCTTTCCTTCAATTTATGACCGAAATCCCGTGTGGGTTGCACAATGTGTCTGAGGATCAACAACAAAATACACGCTTGGAGTAACACAAGGTTAGCCTGCTGAGGAACTCAACAACAACAACAACAACAACAACAACAACAACAACAACAATATTAATAATAATAATAATAATAATAATAATAACAACATCGGGGAGTTTACGAAACAAAAGCACATGGTTATGAGGGATGCCATAATGGAAGGCCCAGGGGATTTCATTCATCTTGTGTTCTTTATTGTGCAATGGGACCACACAGTGCATAGACCCCTGCCATTTGGCCTGCATCTAACTGTTACTGCCATGGCCGAAAACAAGCCCGTGATTTCGGGGCCCGCAGCCCAGTACTTCACCCACGATTCGACCATCGGTGACGAAGAAAGTTCTCCAGAAAGTGCCCAGCTTACGCATATTGCACAAAAACAGCATGTTTTCGCAGTCATTATCTTCTTGTCGTTCTATAAAAGGCACACGTAAGATTCCCACAAGAAAATAATCCATTTATTCAGAAGCTTCCATATTTCACATGATTTGCGGATTCCCCAGGCCGTCACAGAGAGCGCGAATTGATGTTAATCACTTCGCCCCGCTGATGTTCCTGATGACATGAAAGGGCTATCAAAATTACGAACATGCACAGCACACATATTTAATAACCTAGTTTGCATTATTGCGAAGAACAACGCTTGTTATCTTTGTATTTACGCATACTGTGCGGCTCCTAGTATATATGCACTAAGGTTGTTTTTTTTCAAACCAAATACTTATGCACCATTTTTTTCCCAAGAAAAGGGAGGCGGTGATAGCTTATTCGCCATATGCGTGGTTTTATTATTGATTTTCGTCGATTGTTTTTGTGCAAAAATTTCCCAAACTCGTTTGGTATTTATTCTTATTTCTCTTTTTTTTTTGCTCATTTCGATGATGAACAGCCTCGGTATAAAACGCTAATGTGTTGTTGCTTGCCAATTTTGTCTCCTCATTTTATGCTTAATTCATTCAGGGGATTCTTCTATTCATGCAGCAGATGAAAAGTTTTGATCATATGTTTAGATTTTGTGCTTCCGTGTTTGAAAAAAATTATATACATTTACAAACGTACATCCTTTTTTTTTGCGGTGAGTTAATACTTACGTAAAACAGAACTTACAGTTCCTGTCCCTGAATCTAAATCTCACAAAGAATCGACGTAATCAGGAATTCCTACAGGCGCATAATTTAAAAACATTTTTTTGAGCAACCGTATAAGCGGGTTGGTTTCTAACAAAAACTCTTGCTGCTTCGTAACTATAGGATGACGTTGAAACTATCGAAGTCAGTAGTTCTAAAATTAAAAAGTCTTTTAACAAATAAATTCGATGTGAGCTTCAGCACAAACTGATAATATAAAATAAATTTTCACAATAACACCGGCTTTATAGACAGCCCAAAACAGCGTAATGATTGAATCCAAATTTCTCGTTCTTCATATTTCTTCTGTGCAAGTTCAGACCATGCTACAAAAATGTTGAATAAAATGTTCGTTCAAAACTTCCTATTAGTGATTTGATTTAAGGAGAGGAGAACCTCACAATAGGTATAAGATTTTGGATTTGCGTATCGAAACCAGGATTGGACGCAGCAGTGGAAGTATCTGAAAATTTTGACTCCCTAGGGCTCTTTTACGAGCACCTAAATCAAATTACACATGCTCAGACATTTTCACCGCCGCGGATAATCCCACCACCTAGGTAGAATTGGGATCCCGTGAACTTCAAATCAGCAGTCAAGTACCACGTTCATTACACCTAGTGGCAGTTTGCCTGTTTGAAATTTCTTGTTTACATAACCTTACGACAATTATTTTACTACGCAGCACTCACCACCGTTCTATCGTCGCTTTGTTGATATGATTTTTTTTTTCTGTTTTATACAATTTTGAGGAGAATTATCGGCAGTGTGGTCCAGTGTTACATACAATTCTTGAATATTCGAACAATCCGGTGCCAATAAAATCTGTTTCAGAAAACATCATTACTACACGTTTCGTAACACAACTTTACAAAAACAACTTCACGTGTCTCGAACGATGAGCTTTGGCAAACGTTTAGGTTGACTAAATGTAGTGAGTGATAACAATTCTTAAGTCCTATGAGGCCTTTTCAACTTCACATGCAAACACATCCTTTAGATTACTTCAAGCAGGGAAGCACAAATGTTTTGCGCGCGCCACTGGGCTCGCACAAGCGTATATCTCCTTATCTTGCGGCATAACTGAATATAGTTCTCGTCCTGATCAATTTATTTCCGGCTTCTAATTCCTCTTCACTGCATCCTGGACGTGGAAACTATGACAAATGTGCAAAGGCAAATACGCGCAAGATCACCAAAGGCGCTGGCCACAGAAGGCATAGATATATGACGTACTTCGAACACCGTACCTACACCTTGTCTACGTAATTGGTTTTTGCAGCCCATCATTCTAGTCTTCTTAGAAGTGAGCGCTGAACTCATTGCTCTTTTTTCGCTAAAAAGAATCGCCACCAGCCACCAGCTCGGCCACCACACATAATCTCCCGTAATCGGCAGCGGATTGGCGTCACTGAGACAAAATTGAAAATCGACCGCTCCCGTTCACCGAAGTTTCCCGCCAGAAAGGACCACCGGAATCTCACTTATTTGCTCTTCTGTTCCTTTTTTTTTGCGTGTACATGAAGTATCATATATAGTTCATTCTGGTACTCCAAAAACAAAGATTTCATTCTAAATTTTATATTTTTTTTCTTGCCTATGCAAGCAATTTCCTGAAGGATCTGTTATTACAAATGAGCACGTCATACCAATGAGCACTACGTTTAATTAAATGTAAGCAATTCTCGAAAAAGGCAGATAACTAATTCGGAGAAAGAAAATATTACTAGCTCTGTGAGGCGTCACTGTGCGAAGATGAGGACAGGACTATGATAATCTAAATTAGTCTTGACAGGATGACGAGTCCTGTTTATGAGCAGCAGGCGATAAGCTTTGAGTTCATGTATTTAGGTTGCTCTGAAATATACTTCCGTAAACTTAGGCGAAGAAATGTGGCATTTGCTCTACTTCAACCACTCATAATGGAGGGGCACAGGCGAGGGGGGAGTCAGGTAGGAAGCATTACGTAAAACAAAGCTTCGCAAAAGCATATCAATAAAATGCGACTTGTGGTCTGACATTCAAACCCCTGTCAGAGAAGTTTTTTTTTTTTTGCCTTGAGAACACTGAAGACATAAGTTCGGTTATTTGATTATGCAGTGAGCGCATCGCACACATTGCAGTGCCCTTTATGAACATCACAAGATAGACGCGTTATTTAGTCGAGAAATTAGGTTCGAGCTTTAAACAAAAAAAAAACGCGTGGCAGTTCCAGTACTGTGAAGTGCGTAGCAAGTTCAAGCTGTGACTCCTGTTCGTGAAGTTCCCACTGTTCATTTACCATTCCAACGACGACGTTACTGGTTAGAATGGTTTACCCGGCACGACTACAAACGAGTTAGGGTAGTTTGAATATTATCTATGCAACACGCACCCTACATTTTCGCTAGGCATTATGGACTTCCTGCTACTCACTGCATTTAACGAGACGTGTCGGCAGCCACAAATTCCGCCAGACTGCTTTGCCGACAGTGCGCCGGACAACGCTGGTGGAAACTGTAATCGTGTTTTTGGCATCTTGGTGACAGGATACCGTTATTTCGAGTAGTTCGACGTGTAAGGCATTACGCTTGAAGTTTTCGTCTGGCATTTCGATCTGCGGATTTTGTACAGAAAAATTCTAGCGAATGTTTCAGGCTTGAATCTTAGTGGCGTAAACTTCATCTCGGTCCCTGGGACTAAACGCAATACCAGAGTCCTTTCATGGTGGTCGCTCTACCAAATTACTTAGTTGGAAGGAGAGAATTGCAGCAAAAGGGCAAATTTACTGATGAATCAGAGCACATGACGCTAAACATGCCAGCTGGCAATAGCTATCATCCTGTTTAGCTCAATTAGTGGAGCGACTACACCGGAAAAGATCTCGTCGCAGGTCCGACCCACTGACACGTAGGTGGTTTATTGAACTAAGCACTCGTACTTTTGCAACACTTGCATGATTTTTTTTTCTTTCAACGGTTGGTACTCAGTTTCCTCTTTGATGACTGTGAATTCTGAAGCAGTGCGGAAACACGAGTAAGACGCAAGCACTCCGTCATTAAATAAGCATGCCATGCACGTAAAGAAAATCGAGTAAAGTACCGATAAAGTCTAATAATAACGTGTGAAGTATTAACGTCCCCAAACCATGGTATTATTATGAGAGACGCCGTAGTGACGAACTCTGGAAACTTTGACCAACTGGTGTTCTTTGACGTGCACTCACAATGCTCAGTACACAGTTATGTACCCTTTCGCCTCCACCAAATTCCGACCCCCGCAGTGGGGGTCGAACTCGGACCCTTCGGGTCGGCAGCCAAGCACCACATTCACTGATCCGTGGAGGGGGTGGGTGTAGTATTATGGGGGGTCACATTAGGAATGCTTCACGGCATTTCGTATGTCCACCTCTGGGGGGCAGAAAAAACAGCTCACACGTCACTATTACAGTTACAAGAAGCGCCACTTTCCCCTCCCCCCCCCTGGTCATTTTCTTCTGAAAATGCCATGTCTGAGCGGCCGAATCGAAGGCACAGTAAGACTGACATTTTGGTAACAAAGCAGGCTTAACAAAGTCCTCGAATTTTCAGCGTTGTATGTTTTTGTACGAAGGCCCGGAACTAGAATAGTCATACATGTGATGTTTTTTTTTTTGCGGAGGAGGTCAAATGAGCTGTTGCCAATTGTTCCGACATGTAGCATTGTGAACCGAATCAGTTAACTCTTATGAGTTAAATAACCTCTCTTTACCTACATTGGTGTGTCTCGGGGGAGAGGGGAGGTCAAGTGGTGGGAAAAAAACATTCACGCGAAAAAAGGGAACTACCAAAATAGTACGCGCCCGTTGATTGCTCGGCTAAGCACTGCCAGTGCCTCAGAAGCACTGCAGTCCACCTAAGTTATGAGACGGGACGAGCTTTTCGCTTCATTTCACCAGGTCTATAGAGCCGGCAAATAGGCTCGGGTCGTAGCTTTGGACTGAAGCAGCGATGGAAATCGAAACAAGAAAACAAAGATTAAGCAATAAAACACGGTGGCTTCAACACACAAAGAAGACACTGTGATCGTCTCGCTGATTGTAGTAGTAACGAGACCCTTGGGTGGTAGCGTCGTTCGGGAAGCACGACCTTTTTTTTTCTTTTTCTTCCCAAAGCTCTTGAACGATGGGAAAGGCGGCCGCGATCACCGCACCACTGCTCTTCAGCCCAGGGAGACACAGTG